CTCTCTATATATATATTTCTATATATATATATATATAGATATATACACATATATCTACATATACACACATATATAACACACACACACATATATACACACATATATATACATATGCACGTGTCTATAATAAGATATATTATATTAATATTATATTATTTATTTTTTGGTATTTTTTGATCATTTTATTTTGAGTACATGTATATATACACACGTGTAATTTTTGACATAATTGGGTTAAGGGATTGATTTGCTTTTATCATGCGAGTATGAGAAAACATATGCAGTGCAAGTTAGATCTGCTGAGCCTGTCCTCTCACTGTGCCAGAGGGATGCAACGTCTTGTATGTTAAATCAGTCCTAAACAGCCTAGCTTGGTGACCCAGCAGCACACAGGAGACAACAAACAATGGAGTAGTTACCAGTATTAGTGAGCACTGGGCTGGGGTTGTCCGCGGTGTTCAGACTGGCCCTGTAGTTGAGGGTGGCTGTGGCTGAGGAGAGAGAGCAGAAGGTCAGATCATTCTGCGGTGCTTTCACTGGTAATGTCTGCTGCAGAGATGACCACTCACTGTGCCCCTCCTCAGGCTCAGAGTTGCTGGTGGTGGTGATGTCACTCAGGCCCGACTCATCTGAAGCCTCGGCCTCTGAAGAGCTCTCACACACGATCACCTCGCTGGCGTCAAAGTACTCGGCCATGGACTCGGCCACGGAGGGCGTGCGGTGACACGGACGGCTCAATGAGGGCGTCCTCTGTGGGGGGGCACAGAGGGGTTCGTTGCTCAAATTAGATTCTCAATATGTACAAAAAAACTATTTGATCCAGGCCATTGCTGAAATGTCATCAATCAGACATCTAGGCATGAAACTCAGGATGTGCACTTTTCATTGCGGATTATATTTTTGTTTTAGGATTAGAAGACGGAAATGGTATTTATTTATCCATACAAAATGATTGTTGAAGCAGTGTCTATTTGAAAGAATCTAAAGGCTTGTTTATTATATTAACTCCCAGCATCCTCCTGCCTGAATTGCTGATCAAACTTTTGATTTCAATGACCAAAATGTAAAATGTATATTAAATAATGTCCCATTTTATATACATATTATATAGAATTGAATTGGTGACACCCCTGAAGGTTCTGATAGTTATTTGTTTTTAGATTTTTGCAAAACCTTAGCAAGTTTGTGTCTTCTTCATTGCGGTTAAAAACGTTACCACTGACAACATGATGTGTGTGTGTGGCTATTCCTTGTACTGCAGCTTCCAATGTGCAAGCGCTGTGCATGTTGTGTGTGTGCACAGGTGGAGAAGTACTCAGATCTTGTACTTAAAGGTGGGGTAGGTAATTTTGGAGAAACCAGCTCGAGTGCGCTAGAATTTGAAAATACACAGCCGGAAGAAATCTGCCACTTCCTTACAGAGCCCCTCCAACACACACGAACGCGCACATGACCAATGAGGGCACGAGATAAGTTTGTGCACAGATGGAAGGCTGACAGGCAGGTAGGCCATCCAGTTATTTTAGCTGGGCCGGCTCAAATGATTACAGCTTCCACAGATGAAATTTTATGGATTTTTTGTCAAAGCACTTCAGATATTCATTGCTATCGGGATGTTAAGAGCATTCCATGGAATATAACAAAAAGTGTATCTCGAGCCGGTTTCTCAAACTTACCTACCCCACCTTTAAGTAAAAGTAGAACCTCCTCAGAAAATGAATACTCTAAATTCCTGCATTCAAAATGTGACTCAAGAAAAAGTATGAAAGTATTAACATCAAAATATACTTAAAGTACCAAAAGTTATAGTACTCTTTATGCAGATTTGCCGATTCCAGAAAATATATATGATATGTTTTATAATGATTGATCATGAAAGTGTTCTCAAAGCTGGTAAAGGTGCAGCTAGTTTGAATGACTTTGTATACTGCAGGGTAGCTTGAGAATTTACTCCAGGTGGAACTAAAGTCTGATTTAACACTTGATTATATTTCATCATTAATCAAAAGTAACTAAAGGGTATTAAATAAAATGTGAAAAATATGAACAAATGAGCGACAGCAAGATGATGAAATTGACACAAAAACCACCAACGTACAACGCAGTACACACCTGGTCAAGACGGACGGTGCAGAATGATTCCTCAGAAGAGTCAGAGGACAGGGAAAGGGAGTGGACTTTGGTGAGACGGGACTGTATGTCAAGCTAGACACATGCATAGACATGCACACACATACCAGCCAGGCCAGACACAGGAAGAGGAAACAGGATCACAGTTATTTGCAGAATGTCCCCCAGACTCCAAAACTAATGTCAAACTGTTAGGAGAGAAGATGTTGTTCTAGTTTTTAATAGATTTAAAAGGAAAAATCTTGTATTTTTTAAATGTTTTAGCAGGTTAACTTGCAAAAGTGCTATTTTGGTTCAGTATAAATGGGATTTACTCCAATGTTGTGATGCATCTGTTTTATAAAGTGGGGTTTGCAAGATATAAAACTGATGCAGCGTAAACGCAGATATGTTGACTCTTTACAGGAATTATTATCAGGAATGTATTCATGTAGAGGGACAGCCAGCTGCCAGGCAACCAACCACACAGTTAAACCCAAAGTCACATAAAACTGATGTCCCATTATAAAAAAAGAGAGGATGGACAGAAAACCAACAGGAAGCTTAGAAGAGACCTCATGCAACACATAAGAAAATGGTTACAGAACAACACAGATTGATAGCTGGAGTTAAGCCACTTGACTGACGAGACTTTTTGGTTTCAGTGTGCAACAACCATCAAGTTATGTTTGTCTTTGTGTGTAGGAAAGATTTGAGGTGTGTTTCTCAAGGACGCGCCTGTGATAAGCTGTGCCTGTCCTTCCTACAAACAGCCCAAACCTGCTCCACAGTTTCACACTGCAGCTCCGCCACACAGCCAGGGCTGGGCCTGCATTGTCTGTCAGCAGGCCGATACTACCATTTAGTGCCAATAATCAGGGATAAAAGTGTCGGACTCAGGGACTAAAAGGTCAGGAAGTGATCACAGCGGGATGAGGGACTGCCTTAAATCTATGTCATAGTTTTTATTGTGTTCTGCCTTCAGCCTCAGGAAGAAAGATAGCGGTTTGGAGTTTTGCTTTTATGTAACCCTGCTCTGCTCCTAGTGTGTGTGTGTGAGTCAGTGGTGGCGCTAGACTTTTTCACTGACTGACAGGATCGTAACATTTCCGTCAAAATCCATTATTACCCGTCGGTTACACAACTCTAACGGGGGGGTGGGGGAGACGCGGGCTTGCCGGTGTTATGCCGTGTTATGCATGCCCACTGCACCTCCCGGGAGCGCGCCAGACATTTCAATGATTTGTTCGGCAAAGTTAGGTTTGGAAACGATATCATTTCCTTTTTGACGGGCATGCATAACACCGGAGCCTCACTGCAGGGAAACTTTGGCGCTGTTCTGGGTTTGTTCTAATCTGTCAAAATGACAGACTGCTTTCAGATTTTTCCTTCATTGTTAAAAAAAATCCGTCATAGACGGAAAATATTCGGTTAACGCAACCACTGGTGTGAGTGTTACCTCAGACATTGTGCTGCACAGTGTGGTGAGCTGTTGGGAGGTGTTGTGCCTCAGGTCGGGGCCGGTCCAGGCCTGCCTCAGTCGCTCTCTCTCCAAGGTCAGGATCTCATGGACTGACTTGAGAGACGTGTGAACTGTAAAACAACATTTACAAAAGTCCAATAATTGCACATATGATGCCTCTAGGAATATATATCTTTTATTTAACCAGGTAAAAAGACTCATTGAGATTAAAATCTCTTTTTCAAGAGATGAAATATGCTACCATTAATAAAGTGCTATTGCAGACAGTAGTGGGTGTGAGGTTAGGCCTTTTTCCTTTTTGAATGAATTCTCTTCAGTAACTACAACCCAACAAGACACTTTAAGCTTATTTCAAATAAACAATGTTTGGCTTGTATTATTAACTTACGTTGAAATGAACATTTGTAATGAATAACTCATTCAGTAGAATCTCACTAGAATTTCTTCAAACTCTTTTTTTGAACTGTAAAATTATAATTTTATCTTATTATTAGCATGTTATTAAAACTAAAAACACCACTGTAATATGTGACCCGCTCTATCGAAATCAGTTGGAAGTCGCAACGGCTCATTTCAAAATAAACGTGGATTTACGTAAAAAACTTTTTTCGGGGTTCGGGTGTTTTGTTTGATTTTAAATAAACAAAGTCTTGGCTTTCAGAATATGAAACTTTTATTTCCAAAATCACACGATAAATACATTTGTGAAGCTTGTAAAGGGAAGATGACAGGCACCTCTCACTCGCAATCTGCTCTTCCTCAGCGCCGCCCCCCTCCCTCCGGCTGAAATGATGAATGTAAGGCATATAGTAATCATAGATAACACGGCAGGGTCCGTTACAGTTTGTTTTCATCTGATTTCAATTAAACAAAGTCTTGGCTTTCAGAATATTAAACTTGTTTCTGCAAATTCAGATGATAAATACAACTTTGAAGCTTGTAACGGCATAATTACAAGCAGAGAACGGAGTAACTTGACGTCACAGCAGGCATAACAACAGCCGGTGTTTCTCGTGAGTGTTTTCCCCAGGAAACAAACACAATATACACAAACGCAAAAATACACAAACACACACACGCATACACACACACACACTCGCGAGCTTCCCCCAGACCAGTAATCCAAACGAAAATATTTTCCCTCCGGACTATTTTGATCATTTGCTCCGCTGATAATCAATCAGATCGATGGATTCCAGAGAAGAGGAATCTTTGAAGGCCTTTTTCTCAAAATGATGACTCGGTGACAGTCATTATATAATGTGACATATTTTGCTTAATATTTGGAGTACAACAACAATCCTGATATCATTAGAAAGCTAGGAATCTCCTCTTTCCAACAGTGTATACAACTCAAAATGTGTCTTCGGGTCAATGCGACTGATTTCGATAGAGGAGGTCACATATATTGTAGTAACCTATACCTTTTATGTTTATGCCATATTGTTTTATCTCGTGTGGCTATAAATATTGTTATTTTTTGTACACTCTTACTTTCACTTGTTTACATGCGATTTTAATACTCTTTTAATAGCACTTCGACTTATTATCATTATTATTGTTCATATAAATATTTTGAATCTATTTTTATTTCATGTGTAAATGAAGCAACTCTCACAAAATACTGATTTGGATTGTGAACAGACTAATGTCCCAGTATAGAGCTGTGTAGAGTGAGAGAGCAGTCATTAGGCTGAGAGAGCTGTACCTCTCTGAGAGGAGCTGCAGATGTCCTGGTGGAGCTTCTTGGCCTCGGGCGATGTGACCTGAGGGTTGGACAGCTGAGAGTAAACGTAGTCTGGGATGGACTTAACAGATGCTCCACTGCCGTTGGTACTGAGGTGGCTGGAGGTGAACTGAAAAAAAGAGGAATGGTATAATTTTAAAAGATAAGATGAATGGCCTCACTAAATAAAGCGTTAAATTCCAGCCTACCATTCCCCCCATGGCTTCGACGCGGGACATGGTCCTGGAGTGACCAAATCCTTTCCCTGTCTTCCTCTTGGGTTTCTCCAGGGACAGATTCTGGAACACACACCAACAGGGTTACAGCTTCTCTCCAATAACATCGAGTTCTACAGTAGATTCATGCGTATTTGGGGAACTTTATTTTTTCTCCAACTATACTGAACACATTTCCAATTCATTTGGATCTGGGGATCCACTGTTACATGATGTTATTCAAATCAACATTATCTCAGTGGAGTATTAAAGCATTCCAACTAATTATCTTGCATTAACACACAAGACAAATAATCTCAGGCCACTGGCCTTTTTTGGCATGGCACACAGTCGCAGTTGGTAGAGGGCGCTGACCTGCATGCTGATTCTCATCTCCAGGTCTGTGTTGGTGATGGGCAGGCCTCCTTCCAGCCAGTGGAGCCTCTGGATGAGCTGGGCCAGCTCCGCCAGCTCCATCTGACAGCGAGCCAGGTCTGACACAAAGAGGGTCAAAGGTCACTAGTTATTAACAGAAACAGCAAAAGAGGTTTCGCATCTATTCCTATCAATGGTCTGCCCCCTTAAAGTTAGTGAGTGCTGCATTCTCAAATGTTTAATTCTCTGTGCTTTAAAGGTTTTTTCCCAAAGAAACAAGAGTAAGAATGTTGGAACATTAGACCTTACCATGGTCGTTTTGGCAAGTTTTATTTTCAGTACAGCATAATACAATGTGTTTTAAGGTGCTACACTGATGGCAGTTGGTGAAGGGAGCACAAGGCTCAAACATGCCAAGTATATATCCCATCCCTCACAGAGCCTGTCACTGTTGAACATGATGAAATGAGGCTTCACTCAGATTGCCTCTCACCGTTGGAGGTGGCGTCGATGTCTTGGGTCTGCTGCAGCCACGCTGACACCTTGCTGGTCACCCCTGGGTGAGAGGCCACGGCGGGGGCGGGGTTTCTCATCTCTTGGTGGTAAACTGATGCCGAGCTGGCATAGTGAGGAGGCTGGAATATCCAACGTATCAAATCAGAATTTAAAACAATTGCAATTTTATTTTCTTATGTTTTACAAATAGAAATCTTTCAACATGGGCGGAACTATAAGTAATGCTGGAATTTGCTTGTAAGAGGTAAGGATACAACATATTGGTGGGGAATCCATTAAAAGCTGATGCCATAACACAATCAACCACAAAGCCAGGTGGCAAGTTCAAGACTGTTAAAAAATAGTAGGGATGCTCCGCTCTCTGCCGATCGATCGGTGCTCTCTATAAATGCCGATCACATGACGTAAAATACATGGCACTTTTCTCTGTGCGCGGCAAAACAAGCTCGCCAAAATGGCTTCACCAGTCTGGCAGTATTTGAAGGTGTCCGAAAATGACAATAAAATAGCGGTATGCAACGTGTGTGAAGCAGAAATCCTGCAGCTCCACCCGCTGTGACGGACCGGTGAGCGGAGCGAAACACACACTAAGAGTTAGACCTAACACACTTAGCTATTTTATCTACCTCGGGAACAAGCTAAACTAGTTATAAATATATTTATTCTTCAGTCGGGTCACTCACTACTGGATCAGTGAGCTGCATGAGATACTGACAGGCTGTCAGGAGAGAGGGAGAGAGAGAGAGAGAGAGAGCGCTTCCGCTCATTTCTCCCGTGTTATCCAAAGTTAATGTAAACTTGAATAATGTACTTCATTTGAATGTAATAATTATGTTGGTTGTTGTTTGTGGAAGCGCCAGTGAATGAGCCCCATTAACTGAGTTTTAAACATCACTTTAAATGGAAGATCCCCATAGGCCCCGCCCACTCGATCGGATCGGCGATCAGTATCGGCCGATACTGATTCCGGCCCCAAAATTGGCGATCGGAGCATCCCTAAAAAATAGAGTCTGTTTATTTTCATTTAAATGTTTGTTGTTGGTTTTTACTGTGTAACATGTTGAGTGGGACTCTGACCGTGGCTCTGTTGGACTGGGTGAGAGAAGCCATGGCGGGCAGAGTGCTGGGGACCATGGAGAGAGCATGGAGGACGCCATGATGGACGCCCATCGCCTCGTTCTTCCTGAACACACGATGTGCACACAGCTTCGTCAACCAGATGTAGAAGAGGTCATGGCTCTTTGCCTAACCACGAGGAGAGAAGCAAAATACAGGGAATTAAAAAAAACGACAAAACAAAAGAATAAAGAAAAAAGGGAAAAGCCATAGAAACTAAGCTTTTTTGGTAAAGGGAATATAATCCTTTTTCTATAAAACCTGGTCTATTTTCCAACTGTACATCCAGAGCACAGAGATTCCTCTACACCAGCTTGGCCAGACCCTCCACTCAAGAGAATAACTTGAAATGATAAAAAAAAGCCCAATATCCTTTCTCCTCGTCTCATTTCCCCGCTTTTTTATACTCGGTCTTATTTGCGTTTCTTTTTCATCACGTGGAAGTATAACTTATGTTTATTGTACAAATAGTGCTTGACTACCTAGAGCAGGGGTAGCCAACACGGTGCCCACGGGCACTTAGTCGCCCGCAGGGGCAACGTGAGTCGCCCGCGGGGCATGTTCTAAAAATAGCTCGCCAAGCAAATCCAAAATGTAAAAAATACACAAAAGAAAAGGAAATGTAATTAAAAGAATCTACCCTATGCATAAACAAAACCTCAATCATAGCAAACTCTATCTACAACTCTATATCTATCTAACACCCCTCCTCCCCCCACCCCCACAATGAATATCGACCAATAATGTTCTTGCTTGATTTGCGGGACTAGCGTTGCAGTCCGGAGGAAAAGCAATGTGGAGCGTCACCTCATCACTCCATAAGGAGTTTGACCTTTCCTTCTGGTAGAATCTACACAACACATCAGCCCCATTGAACAGCCTATCATGCCAGCCTATACAGCACATGAGGGGCAGAGCTTTACTGTGTGTGTGTTGCAACTTGCATATTTATTTATTGCACTTGACGCACACACACGCATGGCGTAATTTCCACTGGGGACAGGTCTCCCCCACTTTTCGAAATCCCGTCTGTGTCCCCACACTTTACAAATATGTTTATTATTATTTTTTAACGCAAGCCGTCATCGCCACAGAGGAGCACACAGCCTCTGTGAGCGAGAGAGAGAGAGACAGAGAGCGAGAGAGAGAAAGAGAGAGAGAGAGAGCGACCTTTATCTATTTAAAGGACACCTATCATGCTATATTTGAACAATATATTGTAGGGCCATACCTATATAAAGTATATAAATATAGTTTTTTTTTTCAAAATACCAAACAGATCCTGCATTTTAGCCATGCCTCATTTCGCTCCATTTGCTCTTTCCAGCACTGTTTTTGCAGGGGGCTGATTCTGTGAGCTGCAGCTGACCATGCCCCCCTGCAGGAGAGGGGAGCGTGCTCTGATCAGCTGCTGGGCTGTCAGAAGAGGGGGAGATCTCCGTCCTCCGTGTTTTATTATATTATTATATAGAGTCGTTATTCATTTGTTTTAAAGCTCAATAAATAACAAAGACCTTTGACCGGCACTTTTCTAATTTTGTCCGGAAGATTTAAACTTTAACGGACATCTTGACCGGCGAAAAAAAAACTAACTGAAACTCTGCCGCACGGTCCCCTCGTTCCTTGGAAGAGGCGGAGAGGTGGGTGTTTGTCATCTGCTGGTGGACTAACCGGAGAGAATTACAGTGCTTGCCTCGACGGGGAGGGATTGCATTGAATTGAATTAAAGCAGCAGGAGCAAACGCTTGCCTCGGGGAGGGAGAAAAAGAGCCACAGCGGAGAATAAACAGAAGGGCAACCATGGCAACCATGCACGGGAAGTCTTCTTCGCTGCTTTTCTGGCAGACTACAGCGCCACTTACAGGCCTGGCATATGTACTACAGCGTCTCCAGCGCTTTCGAGCGGCAATGGCCGGCCGTGGCCCAACCCCACATTCCCCTGATAGGTGGAGAGTTGGCCCAATAGCCGTAGCGCCACCGTCCTGACATCAGTAACGTGTTCAAATCTGGATCAGTTTTTATCAGATCCGTTGCAGCCCCTTTTTTAGAGATTTGGGTATGGAGGAAAATAGAGAGGGTTGTGTTTTCTGACACTTGGTGAGTTCCCTGGAACACCGGGGACACATATTCATGTATAAAAGACGCACAAAAGTGCATTTTGCATGATAGGTCCCCTTTAATATAGATAAAGTAAGAAATCATTCCAATGTGTATAGGACAGTAAAAAAACAAAAAACAGTTTAAAAAGGAGAGTGATTAGTAAAATATGCATAAATAGAAAGAAAGAATACTAACTAGGTAACATAAGATAAGAATACACAAGTTGAAATGATTTGTTATTGGTTGTGATCATATTCTAAAGATGTTTGGATTATTGAAAAGTACACAGCTCCCTTTCATCTGAGTGTTGAGAGCTGTATCCATCAATTCATGTTGTGCTCAAAGTGCACCAGATTGATGCATTTCACTTCAACATCTAAAAAATAATCTTCCCGGGGGTGCATGCCCCCGACCCCCCTAGAGGAGGTGAGGTCCACCCCCAAATAAAGCAGGTTAAAATAATTAAATTGCATACATTTTATTTCAGTAAACACTGAAAACGGGTCCCACAGACCCAAACAACACACAAAGGTTAAAGGTAAGCATATAATAATGTTAAAATGTGCTAAATATATACACTGCAAAAAACAAAAAAAGAGGAGTAAAAGTAGCTCACGACTTGTTTTATTTTTTGAAAGTAGCTCTGATCCTAAAAAAAGTTGGTGACCCCTGACCTAGAGTTACTGTTTATACAAATTATTGACCTCTGCTTAAAAATACAGCCCATTCATTTGGCCTTTCTTTCATGTTGTGCAAAGAAAAAGCAACCTCTTAATCCAGATATCTTACCATGACTCGCGTATGCATGCACGTCTACGGTTGTGGCATAGCTAGCTAACCAGATGCTAATAACAACAAAGTTATTGACTGTATGATCAGTGTGACAGATGAACAGATCGCCACTGGGCTTTCAACTAAAGACACAGCCACGCAAAAACTGCGGCATGTGTACGGCTCCTTATGGGTACTGCCATTTCTGAAGTGGCGGAGCGGCGTTCTGGTGCTCTCCGTCAGAACTGCACCCCTGTCAGACGAGACATATACCACGTGATGAGACGTTAGGCTCGTGTTGTGTTCAAGGACCCGGACCGTGGCCAGGAAAAACAGGCACTCGCTTGTTTAATTTTTTTGCGGTCTAGATTTCTTTAATTTTTTGCGTGTTTATAAATTACGTCGAGGGCCGTACCAAATGGTCTCGCGGGCCGTATACGGCCCTGGGGCCGGAGGTTCCCCACCCCTGCTCTATGGCTTTATATTGTGTGTAACCTGTTTTTATCCGATTTTTTGTTTTTGAAGCATAGTGCAAAACTTAGCTAGTGCAATAAAAATGAAATATATTGTTGAGTCACCCTTAAGTTTAGTTTATGTTGTCTATGTGGTTAATTTGACTGCACCACCTGTACGTTGCAGGTTACCTTGAGGTGGTAGATGTTGTCTCCAGCATCCAGGTCTATGCCTTTGGACTTCTTGTTGATGGACATCACAGCCAGGCTGACGTCCAGAGAGCCATGGAGCTTTCCTCTTTGAATCTGGAACATAATTAAATGATACAATTCAAACGGTGCCATTCATATCAGAGTTCATGGCCATGTCTCTATCACTGCGACTGACAAGTGTTGATAACTTACATCTTGCTGCGTCTTTGAGTACTTGAGAATTCCTTTTTCCAATATGAAGTATCTCTGAAAAAGAAACATCGCAGGGAAGTGTTAGAAAGAAATCAAAGCTTGAAAAAGGTCAAACGGCTCTGCCTCAGGGAAACTAGACATGTTTACCAGAAAATGGTATGCACTACATACTGCAACAACGTTAATAAACCTGGGTAAAAAAGAAAACTGTGTTCACCTTGTGCCAGCCTTTGAGCGGGTACTTCCTCCTCTTCATCAGGTAGCCCTCACAGATGCCGGGGATGCTGAGGTCCACAGAGGAGCTGGGCGCTGAGTATATGTCCTGAGGCTGCAGGTCCTCCATCACCTCCCAGTGACGGCCCTGACAGAGGACACACTCATTGTTACTAAACAATCTGAATGACTTAATACGTTTGGCCGAGTAATATATTTTATTTCCTAATTAAATAACATACAACTGAGGTTTGTTCTGATTCTATTAACATGTGAAGGTGAAAGGTTTTCCTTCATTTAATTGACCATCATTTAGACTTAGCAAGAGTATATTTCCTTTATTTTATTAAATATTTGTTCCTGGTCAAAATGGACTAAACTGAGGAGTCATTGAAGAGAAACAATGTGTACGGATGTGTTTGACTTTCTGATTTGGATTCAGCAAAGTTTGCAGGGCCAAAATATGATAAAATAGAAACAGCCAGTAGGCAGTGAAGCATCAACTTGGTTCTTCTGAAAACTTAAAACAGTGCAGTCAGATTGTGGAGCTGGAGTCTTTTTACCTGTTTCGAGTGTTTGGAGGAGCCGGTGCTGCTAGTGCGCGAGTGGCCAGGTTTAAAGGTGCTGGCTGGAGATTTTTCGAGGCCGCTCATCACAGACTGGCTGCTGCTCAGAGGTGGCGGAACCACCTGAGGGTCCATTTGTGCAAAGTTAGGAGGGTAGCGATGCATGGAGTGAAAGGACCTTCAGGACAGGTTGCTTCTCATGGCACAGTTCCAAACACTGAGGAAATGTCAACAGAACTGTGATCAATCAATGCTGGAGAGAGAGTTATTGAAACACTTTTTCAAGTTCAGACAAATGTTCTTTCCAAAATGAAATAAGATGCCTATAAACCTTGTTTGTCTTATATTGGCTTAGTTCTGTTCTATAACATCAGGGTTCAAATACAGTTTGGAAACAAGCAGTAGAAAGTACCTTTACCTCACATTGTTAAATGACAGTAGGAATGTAGGAAGATCGCTACATCAATGGGTCAAACAGACAATGGAAGGCCTGACAAAGAGCCAGTCAACAGATTTATCTAGTGGCTCTTCTTGCTTTTCTTAAAACAACACACACCCCTCTTCAACTGCTGGCTTTCCCTTTTCTCATGCAGCAGGTGAGAACAAACGCCAGGAGGAAATCGTTCCTTGTCACATGGTTTGTTCAAAGAAAATATTTGTATCAGCTCAGGATGGATAACAAATAAGATTTGGACAATTAGACAATGTAAAAGCTCAAATATCCAATTGTCAACCCTACTACACAATTTTTCCTGAATATATTTTGTTTAAAATACCACTACGTAAAAAAGACAAATATTGAAGTAATATAATAGGCTTCAATCCATAAGGCCCACTCCTATACCTAAATGAAAACATTTGCACATACAGGAAGTGGAAATTGTGATTAGACCATTATCAAATGAAATTACATAACACCATTGACAGTAACAACAGCAACAGATAAAATGAGGAAAGCCTTGGTGACACAACAAATAAAACACACCTGTGTTGCTGCTCCCCCAATAGTCCACAGGAAATTCCTTTTAACTTCCTCCAAAGTAACTTTAGAGCTGCAATAATTTCCCTCAAAGTCCTTATTTAAAAAGGGAAACCACAGCACAGAATGAAACACTTCTAGGAACAATTGTTCAGCATGAACATCCTCTGTTGCACTGGGAGCATTGTGACTCCTGACTGATGATGCCAGTCAAACCGGTGCATATCAAAGCCCGGCGGGTATCTGGGAGGGGCTGAGCACTCGACCTGACCCAACAGGCCTGCCGGCTCCGTCATCTCCAGATGACAAGATCTGAAATGTGTTCTCAGCAGATGTACAGCAGAAACACAAGAGCTCTGAGCAGCATTCAGAAAGCACTTCAGCTCTACAAAATGGATACTCCCGTTTGGGATATTTAAAAAAGGTCATACACAAGAAAGTGGTGCTAATTTAGTCAATTGAGTACAATGTCGCTTTTCTATGTCCTCACCAACTTTTGCAGTTTTGCAACTACTTATTATAGGAAGATTAAATCAAACGTAAAAAGGTTTAGAGATACATCTGTGTGTGCAGACATAAATCAACCTAATGTGATAAGCTGTCAAAATAATTGTAGTGCACTCATGGAACCGTTCAGAATTATAGTTTGGTTTCAAAACACTACTCATTCATTAGAATACAAAAAGTTGTTCTCTTAGAGCAGCTCCAACCTTTAGACCAAAACAGGTCACATTTTTATTGCACAGGCAAAAAAATCTAACAAGCTTTACACAATTCATATTCACTTCTTTGAAAAGGCTGTTAAGGCTTCGAGAACATTTACATTTATTGTATTTTGTTGCAGTTATACAATAATCTGTTTCAATGATAATGTGGTTAATTCCCTTTCTCATCTTGTTCCATTTGGTCAAGATGTTGCCCATTCTCCCATTCTCTTAACAGTAACACCTGTGTATTATTTTGGATTTAGATTACATTTTGAACAAAGGGTTCGCAAACCCTTTCCTTCTAGCAGCTAACTTTTGGCTTTAAGCACGGACACATGAACAAGGCAAAACCTCAGCATGCTGTGACCTGATCTTTGACATCTTCGCTACTAGTAATGTTAGTGATTATGCTATAGTGTTGAATTACAGTCAAAGACTTTAGAGTGGTTGTGGAAACCAAACATGGAATCATTTCCTAGCTGCCAAACATCCAGTGAACCTGTGGATTATTGAAGCTCTCTGGTTTATTAGTACTGCAGAAGAAGGAGGGCCAGCTGCTTAACGAGGGCCAAAACATTCCCAGCATGCTTTGCTCTACACATCATTGCATGATTACCTCTTGGTTACAGACCTGTTGTATAAAACAGTCAAAACAAAGTGATAACTGTTGGTGTACTGTTGAAGTTCGCCCATATGAAGGACATTGTTAATGAAATTGACTTGCCCTTTTTCCTGTGTCTGTTTTGTTATGCAAACTAATGACATGTGCTCTTTACAAAAAGGGATATGTGCATAATTACACTGAATCATATGGGGGGGAACATTTGGCTCAGCTCAATTATAGATAAAGGTTTTTTCCAATGGCAGCTGACCATGCACAGATCAAAATATGTCTGGCTAGAAACTACTAGAAGCGGGACCTAACACGTTGACAAGAAAAAAAAACACAAACAAATAAAGACACAACATTCTGGAGACTGGCTCACAGTGCAACAACACAAAAGTCTTGACTGTGGAACGATGTTCCAGAATACAAAGTTGTGCAACACACTGTCTTTACTGGGCTTGTGGAGGTGGGTGGGGCCAATGGCCACTGGCATGTGGCTTAAGAACCTTCACTAGTCTAAATGTCATAATCCCCTTTCTAGCCAATTTAGATAGTGTGTGAGAGTGTGTGTGTGTGTTCATTTACGGTAATGTAAGGTTTCGGTTCTGATTACATAGCAGGTTGAATTAATTGTCTTTTACTTTGGATTAGTTCCAACTTGTTATCTGTCAATATGACGTACCATACCAGTATGTCCAGATTTTGCTATCTATTCCTGTGTGTTCTTGCGATTTTGTGAATGCCTCGCAAGATAATGTTATTGTAACAGAGAATGAGGATGTAAACCCAGCAAGAGACATCCCAAACATCTCAAGATGAGGAAGAACTCTGGTTAGATGATAACCAGACATTTGAACAGAAGTTTATTTTGACATCTTTTTTAAATGAAAGATGAGGTAATCCTGCAGGAAAGGTCAAGTCTTACTAACTCATATAAATGTTTTCATGAACCTTAAGATTAAAGGAAGTTTAGTTTAACCGTCTCCGGTTTATTTCTATAAGTGTTCAAATTAGGGCTGTGCGATTATGGCAAAAATCATAATTATTTTTGGTCAATAATTGATATCACATTTATTAAATACGATTATTCATTGACTTTGAAAACATCCATTTATTGAACTTTAAAACAAATACAAATAATAATTTGAACAGTATCTTTTTAACTGTTGATTACCCTGAACATATCATTCAACTGAAAAACCAATACAAAAATAAATAAAATAAATTATACATTTACATTTAAATAAATAATATAAAAATAATAAATACCAATAAACAAGATCAACAAATATTTTGGAGCGCACTTCAACAAGCTACTAAACATATGTAAATATGATAAATACAAATAAATTAGATCAAATATGTTGCAGTGCACTGTCACAACCAAGCAAAGCAAAATAATTGTTTTTTTCGATTATGTTGTTTTCGTAATTGTGGCAGGCCAAAATCGTAATTGCGATTAAAATACGATTAATTGCACAGCCCTAGTTCAAATACAATAAAGCTTTTGGCCATTTTGCCCACCCTTACCATCGGCCAAATCTTACCAAAGTCTTAACTCCCCCCAGTAGTCTTTATTTACATTTTTTGTATCTCCTGAAATATTGCAGGTCGTTAAGAAAAGGTTTCTCTCCGACACATCGAGGTAAACAACTTCTTCCTCCAGGCTGTCACTGATGAACATGACCCCTAACTGATGTCATCGCCTATGTGACACTTAAATGCTGAGTCAATAGAGGAAGATGTTTACAACCATAACAGGCATGTGGTCTGACCAGTAAACCAGAGATACAGCCCTGAGAGCACTGTCAAAAACAAAATGAACGGTTCCCTTGCCTGAAGCACATAACAAGGCCATGTGTCAGTCGTAGAATTTGGTTTGCCATGTTTGTTTTTTTCTCTCCCTCTGTCATATGCTTACTGGAAATACCAGTGTTCGTTCCAACTCCCCTTGGCTTGTTGACAAAGACAAAGTCAAATATGGCACTACTAAGTACTGAGGCCGACGGTTATGAGTTGCAAATACACTTATTAATGCAAACATATAATAATAATAAGGAGGCTCTGTAGTCTGAACAAAGACTCTTTATTGCTCCCACAACAGCAGCAGCAACGCATTACAGATTTACCCTTTCTGCTCTAACACTTTGTGCAATTGTTTTCAGAATCAATTACGAACTTTGGCTGTAAAATGATAAAGTATGTCAAAAGGCCACCATGTTGACAACCACCACCCACAGCAAATCGTTAGCAAGCCATGGTCACTGGCCTACATGTGTTCTAAAACAGACTTGTGATGCCACCATATGCTCATAGTGTCCCTCACAAGCAGAACAGCTTTAAAAAGGAACCTATTCATTTTTAAAAGTGTTAAAGGCCCGGTTTGCGTGTCATACACTGCCAAGATGTATGGTAACTTGTACCAACAATTGAATCTTCACTTAACTTTTTGACCTGACTATCATTTTTTATAACAAACACTCAGCTTTCCTGCTGTTCTTAGACACGTGAGCTATACAGACACGTGAGCTATACAGACATGTGCCTTGTTAGCTGGAAACACCGGAATGGCTTTGGGCGTTATTTTGGGAATTTACCATAAGTGGCATGGCGTGGTTTCAAACTAAAACAGGAAACACTAGATCATACGTTCAAAAGAACGACTGTTGTATCAAAAAATATTTTTCTGATGATGAAATAGGTTAGATTGGGACAAAACGCAGTGTTGCAGCAGCCTGATATGTTGCAGAACTCTACAAACATCTAATAAAGGAATGGTATACTGGTTCAATACGAGTTCCTCAAAAACAAAGAAATAAGCAGATTGTATCATGTGGTGTTCTGAAGGGAAGTGCTGTTCTGAACAGTCAGTCCTTTAACATTCATGCCATGTGATGTCAAGAGAGACAGGGCTGACAACTGAACAGACTGGTTCTTCTCTAACCTCCATCTTTCACCCCCTCCCTCCTTCCAGGAATGTGCCAGAGCAAAATGTACAAGGTGTTTTGCCACATGTGACTAACAGGAAGTCTCTTTAGGTTTACATTTTAGTCTTAATATGTAGAATAAAGTGAAACCTATAGTCTATTTCAGCAAAAAACAGGTTAGATATTTGTAACAAAAGAAAAAACATTCAAAACATCAAATAATCATTTGAAAGCCGTGTGCAGCAACTAGCCAAGATAAAGACCCATGGTGTGTAGAAGTTATATTTTACTCAGTTTTAGATTGGTTTATGACTTATCCGTATAGATAAGTCATAAACCAATCTATAGAAACTGTTTGTAACTAGAATAACAATGGGGTTCCACAAAGGTCCATTCTGAGACCTTTATTGTTTTTGATATGCCGACACTGGGAAACAACAGAACACAGGATTCATTTTTGTAGCTATTGAAGTGTATGCAAGTCACTTTGGATAAACGCGTCAGCTAAATTAAGTCATGTAATAATGATAAACAACTGTAAATCTATACCATTAAATCAGCCTTTTTGATAAACGTACCAATATATTATACAGAACAAACAGCTCTGCGCCTCTAAGAATAACACTTTTTTTTTATGTTAATGATGAAAAATGTATTTACAAATTGTGAATAGTGGAATATCACTAGTATTGGTATCAAAAACAACATTTTTGGATGAGCGACATCGCTTTTTCAGCCATCTGTTGTATTTGATGGCTTCATGTTCGCTTTCAGCTGTAAAGGAAAGCAGCTGATGAAAACCTAGCAAATACCAGTTTTGGGGTCTCATGACAGCATTTTCTTTTTCATTGTGAATTGATTTTATTAAGAATGCTTTAAGCTTTTGATTTGCAGTAATTTCCCCCCAATTGTAGCCAATTGTGAACACTTCAGCATTGACTTTAACCAACAGTCATTCTTCCTTTTTTTCCAAATATTATTTTGCCTCTTATCTGCCTGCTTGGTTTTATCGCACTGTTTGCAAATTTCTTTATTTTCCTGTATTCATTTATTTTCTGGCTTCTGGGTGGTATTCATTTTTTAAGCTAAAGTACTGTAGTCCTACTTACAATTTGTTGTTATTTGTACTCAGAGCCGGCCCGACCCATTAAGCGACATAAGCGGCCGCTTAGGGCCCCGCAGCCACTAAGGGCCCACTAGCAAAAAATGAAAAAAAAAAGATTAATTTATTTTTATCTCAGTACACCGTTTTTTATCTCAGTACACCGTCGCCGTGATAAGTATGCTTAATTAATTTTGTTAATATGCCTAGATTGCCTACTCTCAAAGTCATGTATTATATTATTGAGTCAATCATATAATACATTAACCGTGCTTTACCTGAACCTCATCATGACACTAGAGAGGACGGCAGGATTGTAATTTCCCGTGTTCAGTGAATGCAACAGAGGCAAGGCACCAGACCAACCAGAGAGTTGAATGGAAATAAACATCTGTCTTATTGGCTGACAGGTACCTATCCTGTGAGCTGTGACAATGTTTAAAATAAACTGTCAGTCTCAGACTCAGAGTTTTTGAAGATGGACATAAGAACATTTGTTCTTAAAAAAGACGACAATTCTCAAGTGGTGGTTCACACAACAACCCCAGAGCCAGCACTTGAGCCAGGAGAAATTACAGCTACGTTGACGTTACTTTGAATCGCGGGGTTAAGCTAAACCGTTAGCAAGTAGCTATAGCTAGCCAGATATATTAAATAAACACTTTGTCATACAATCTAAATGTAATGTTTTTTAGCGTTACCTGGTGATTTCAAAGAAAGCTCTCTGGGAAATGTTGGCTTACTGTTCGACATGAAGCTAGAAGCTACCGTACAGTACACAGTTGATCCTGAGTCCTGTCAGTTAAAGTGTTTCATAGTTAGCTTAGCTAAGCATCAACCTAGCACTGAAATATATGGATGTTATGTGACAGTATTTCTGAGAAAAAGTCAGCTGAAATGGTGGCATAGTTGCCACTGCTTTACGTGTCGACAGCATGATTGAACGTATTTGCAGCAGTAAATGTGGCTGTTTGGCCACTGACGTTGCCATAACAACACCTGAATGTAAATGTGCAACCTCTTTTTGTGACAGATTTTTGCATGAAATTATAATTCTTCTGAATGATATTCCTATTGACAGCTAGTTTCTATGTGAACATTATGAGATGGACAGCCAGAGAGAATAAATGAAAAACAGTTATGAAATACTATATGACAAAACAAGAATACAGTTTAAAAAGGAGAGTGATTTGTAAAATATCCATAAAGAAAAATCTGTTTACAGTTCTGTTTCATATGGGTGTTGAGAGATGTATCCAGATTGATGCTTTTAACTTCAATATTTAAAGAAAAATCTTCCCGGGAGAGCATGCCCCCGGACCCCCCTAGAGGATGTTAGGTCCACTGTGTTTATATGCTTATTTATACAATATGTGTGCTTATGCTAACATCATAAGACAAAAGTTGGTTCCGTGTTGTGTGAAGTGAGAACGCGCTAGAGTGTGGGGGGCCCCCAAGCCAAAGCTCGGTTAGGGCCCCCAAAAGTCTAGGGCCGGCCCTGTTTGTACTCCACTTCAGTACTTCCGTTTAATGCTGCTTTAAACTTCTACTCCACTACTTTTTTTAAAGGGAAATAATGTAATTTTATTCCACTACATTTATTTAACAGCTTTAGCTACTTTGAACAAAATGCATCTCTAAAAATTAAACTAGTAGACAATATGAATTAGAAATGTCACATATATAAATTAAATACACACAAAGGCAATGTTTCTGTACAATGACTACTTTTACTTTAAGTACATTTAGCTGAAATACTTTTCTACTGTTACCTAAGTAAGATTTTGAACGCATGACTTTTACTTGTAATGAAGTATGTTGACAATGTATTGGTACTTTTACTCAAGTAGAGCATCTTAATACTTCTTCTTCCAGCACTGTCTTATTGAAAATGTATTCATTAAAAAGTAGAAAAACAGGATAGTAATAAAAGGTTTTGAAGACAGTACATTGTGCGTGTGTGTGTTTGTGTGTTTCGAGGAAATTAGGCTTAATAAAAATGTTGCTGCACGTGAACACAAACACACCTAAAGAAACAGTGCGAGAAACACTTCACGAGACACGAGTTTTTAAACTTGTGGAATAAACTAGTTTCGCTTGGTAAAAAAAAACTAACGTCACCACAAAAAGTGCCGTTTCTCTGGCAGCCAGTCACAGGAATAAAGATGATAAAAGCAATAAGAGAGCTAAAATCATTCATCTTATACACGTCGCAAACAAAGTGAATCGCTCCAACACGCTCGAACACGAAGGCCCTGCCCAAACCGAACACCAATTATTTAAAAAAAGTTTCTTCCCCTTAAAAAGTAAAACAGTATGAAACGTTGAACAACTTCAGGTGAAACGACACAATTCAGCGACATTTTTGTTACTGACCTGTTCCTGGGAGGCTGCTGTCAGCTGGAGATCACGGCTGCACTGATGAAAAGCTTCTAAAAGCTGTCCGAGCCGCCCTCGATCAGCGCGTGCACACAGGTTTGCAGGTGCACCGGCAAAAAAGGTGCATCATGGGAACACCCTTTTTTTCTTGATTTTTGTTTTGAAAAAGTTCCAATGTAAAACATCATCCTTTACCTTCAAACAAACACACAAATCCCTCATACAGGACAATGTGACTAAACTAAATACAATGTAAAACATTAAATAAAAAGAACAAGACAAAAAGTTTAATTATTTAATTATTATAAAAACACATTTTCCCTTAACATACACGAACATTATATTTTTTTTAAAGAAAAATTACTTTTTACCATAGTTGTTTGTTTAGTTAAAAAAAATTGTTTTGAAATGTAAATGTTAAATGGAATAGCAGCTTAATTAAAGGTGGGTTGTTAATGTAGAGTTCTTCTGCTGGATTGAATTGTTGTGGTATAAGCCATTTAATGGCTAAGACGGATAAATATAAGATATACTCACTACAGCATGCTTTATTTGATGCAAATACTATTAGTGAGTAAAACATAAAGTCATATAAACTCAACGGCTACTGTATTGTATAACACAATCCAATACAACAATTCAGCTGTACGTTAACGTTATGGTTATTATTAAAATATGTTTGTCTTGTTGGACTGCATTATATTTAGCCGGTTTCTAATGTTTTGCATTAAAAAGATGAATAAGGCAGAATATGAGAACTACGACCTCAATGATAAACACAGAGTTTAATATATGGCTCTCTTTTTAATATATGGCTCTCTATGGAAACTTTGGCAGATGTCATGAAGTTGTGGCCCCCACTATTGCGGTAAGCGTGTTGTCACTTCCGGTTGTTGTTGTTGTCACCTCCGGGCTATCCTGTGCGCCTGTTCTGCTGCAACCCTGGGTGTTTCTCAATCGCGAGTACGCTTGCTTGGTAGCACATGTCTGCCGAGCATCTTGCTTCAGAAGCGAGTCAAGAATACTTCCTGGCATTCGGAAAACGAAGAGTGGAACACGCTAGCAAGTGTGCAGGTGTGCGTCATATGAGAGGCCCAGCCTTACATCTTCCGCCACAGATTTGGGGAAATTGGTCCGTGCGCAAAGCATTGTGGGGATTTTAAGACCGCGGAGTCTACTCATGTGTAGCCTCGATATTTCTCCAAACGGAGTACGCCGGGCTCGGTAGATTTCCAAGTATGCTGGAGATTGGAACAGTACTTCGGCGGCACTCGATGACGTAGTATGCTTGAAATAGTGGCTCTGAAGCAGCTTTACTCGCGATTGAGAAACACCCCCTGTCTCCTACAAATTACGTTCCCACAGAACTAAACTGCATTCTCAATTACGTTTAGCTTGAAACGTATTTTCTCCCACGTTACGTTTGTTACGAACGTATCTCAAATACGTTTATTTTCTACATATCTTCAAGAAACATATTTTCTCCCACACGTTACGTTTGTTACGAACGTATCTCAAATACGTTTATTTTCTACATATCTTCTAGAAACATATTTTCTCCCACATTACGTTTGTATGAACGTATCTTAAATATCCTATGGTTAAATTAAAATCAGTAGGCAAGGCTGTAATTTCGCCAGCTGCGAGGCAGAAAATAATAGTTTTAACATGCCAAAAAGCTGCTGTGTTGTTTATTGCACCTCAAACATTAAAACAAATCCAGAGTTACGTGTTTCTGTACTTCCTCTAAGAAGAAAGGACAGTTTAGAGCTCTGTGGCTTCAGGCTTGATCTCCGTTCAAATGACAGCTGGTTTCCCCAAAAGTGGGCGGGGCTGTAAAGTGACGTAGGAAAGATCCTCAGCTCGCTGATTGGATGTTTTAGCTGCAATGCACGTCGGGATATGGTGTTAATGCGATATGATATCCGAAAAAAAAATTCAGAGTTTAGGATGGCCGAAGACACTCCACTACCCATAATCCCCAGCTATCGTTTGGGACTACAGTCCCGTTGACAAACCCCGTGATTAATCTTCAAGCTCTGGGATTGGATGTTGGAGTGGCAGTGCGCCAAGGTTACGCCGAGCGTCAAACAGCTCTTTGAAATGGAACGAAACCACGGCAGACTTTCCAAAACTGGACTCGAACGCCCCCCCCAGAACTATACATGCTGGCTATTGTGTTTCGCAACATGTTCTATGGCACGTCTCTACTGGGAATTGTAGTTTTAAAAGATGTTTTCGTTTTTCCCAAAATTAGAAGTTGACAGTATTAAACTGTGTACAGCCCTGGAGGTTTAGGGAATAGGAAACAAATTGGTGTGTACAAATGTAAAACATGTAATTAATAAATGGGTGAAAATCGCTTGTGTCCATAATGGGAAGCATTAATATATACCCACATGCCAGCTCATTGTTACTTTGTAATTCTACTCCACTACAATTCAGAGGTTAACCTGGTATTTTTACTCCACTACATTTATTTTAGGTACTTAGCAGATTCTGATTAATGATGTGAAATATAAACAACCCTTAAAGCAGACTTTAGTTACACCTGAGTAAAATTCAGGGAAAGGTGATTGTCAAGTGCCAACAATCAGGCGAGATATTAGTTGGTGCTTGAGAAGACTAAATATTTATCTGCAGATCTCTATAAAGTATATTCATTACTCGTTATTCTCTACTAATAGTTAATTAAAAACTGTATATAATAGCTATTTTGCACATCCCTTTCAAGATTTTCTAAGGTTTATTGACATATCATATACACAACTATGTTGAAGTTATGCAATTAATGAAAAACTTGGGTCACAGGTTCCTCAACAGTGCATTACAAGACATTTATCAATATGTGTGTATACCTCCACCATTAAACTGTCAAATTCTGCACATTTCTTATACTATCTACATACATAAGAGTATAATTAATGTGTATAATATCAGTTAAAATAAGTGCTTCAACACAGTTAACATTGCAGGAAAGCAATATATTAGACGTTAAGTACTTTGTCAGGCTTAATATTTATCTGTAGATAGCAGAGGTGGGGACTCGAGTCACATGACTTGACTCGAGTCAGACTCGAGTCGCATATTTTTTGACTTGAGACTTGCTTGACTAACATTGATAAAAGACTTGACTTGACTTTGACTTGGTATTCATGACTTGAGACTTGACTTAAGCTTGAGACAGATGACTTGAAAGGACTTGACTGTTTAAAATTAAATATTTGCGTTTGTTTTTGTAGTGAGATATTACGTTTAGTTTTTTCGAAAAAACGTGATTGGGTGATTATAGCGCCATGCGCGCAAACCTGGCAACCCACTACGGCAGGAGCGTCAGTTAACATGGCAGCGGCTAGCGTTACTCCAAAAATAGTGAAGTTTGGATTCAAGGATTATGTTGTCGATGACGCTAATAAGAAGAGAACAGCGGTATGCAGGGTCTGCAGCATAAAGATCAGTGACACGACCACCACAACATCCAACTTCATTCGTCACTACAAAAAACCCCACAGAGAAAGGTGCGTGAATGTGTTGTGTTAGCTAGAAAGCTAACGTTAAGTTTAAGCTACGTTAGACTTGGTTTCAAATCGATTAAGCATTGCAAAGAGAAGACAAAACGGTAAATGAACACTAGAACCGCCAAGGGATTCATTTTGACTAACCCCGATACTGACGGGCTGTCAGGAGAGGGAGAGAGAGAGAGAGGAAAAGAGATGCCTCGTTTATTTCCCCTGTGTTATTATCAGAAGTTACTGTAAACTGTTGAATAATGTAGTTCATCTACTTTTAGTAGTTTGTTTAAATCTTTTAATTATGATGTTTTTGTTTGTAGAAGTGCATCATTCCTTGATTTATTTTATAAATGAATCTGAACTTTTTGATCTGTTATGATGATAAACTGAAGCAATTTCTAAATTAACCCAATTAAGTGAGTTTTAAATCGTCCTACTTAGTTTATAAGGAAATTATGAAGAGGAACAAATTAAATGATTTGAAAATGATATCTATGTAGGTGCTGACGCTGTTGGCATTTCTAGTGTTTACAGACATTTAAATTAAATATGTGTAATGGCAAATGCCATATATGATTTTCTTACCTGGAATTCTGCCTTTTTGAACAGACTTTTTGATTGAGTCCTAGCTATATTGTCTGCAGTTCTAGGGTTAATATTGATCTAATATGATTGTCATCGGTCTAAATTAGATTTCAAATGATTAACTGTGTATGTAATGAAGATCATAGTGTGGGTTAAATCCATTTTCATAACCACTGTAAATGCGGAAACTGGGCTTATTCATCAGAATTTCGTATGGCTTGACTTGACTTGCTTGACCTGAGCAATGACTTGACTTGACTTGCTTGACTCTCACCACAGTGACTTGGGACTTGCTTGATACTTGTAGGTCAAGACTTGAGACTTGCTCATGACTTGCACATGTAGGACTTACTCCCACCTCTGGTAGATAGATACCCCCAAAGCTTTTTTCTTATTTGAAAGAAGACCTTAACCTAAAGTATTCTTTAATGTGTTAATAAAGGTTAATTAGTTTGTCTGTTTTGCACATCCTCCTATTAATATCTTTGTACATCCGGCACTAAACTGTTTTATTGTAGAGATCACTTACAGTATCTTCTTGACTTTTTATATTCTATATTTCTATCATTGACCTTCTACTTTCCCCCTATGAAAGTACTCTTAATATTTTTTTCATCAAATAACATTATTCAACAAAAATAACATTATTCAACAAAAATAATTCAATAACGTGCTTTAACCACTAGGCGGTGCACACAAGGTACACACAGCATACTAATAATAACTTTGTATTATTAGTGTAGGACACTTATGTATGTATAACATCTGAAGATGTGTAGTTTTATTCATGTTTTTACATAATTTTACAGGATATTGCTATATTATTGCTCATGTTTTACTTCCACACATTAATATCTGATTTGTAAAACATCACAGACAGAAAGGTATATCCGTCATTTAACAGTAAGCTATTGAAATTGTGATTCCATAGATGTGTCTCCCATCACCCAAAACCCCTGACTATTCTCTCAACTCAGTATTTACATTC